ATGATAGCACACTTTTAAATTCCACCTTCGTTTTGTTACGTATTTTTTTAACTTTGACTAGAATAAGCATAAATCAATCTTATACGTAACAGTTTTATATTCGTTTATCAAATTAAAATATACAGGTAATAATTTTGGTAACAAATTATGACCGAATGGTGTAATATTTTCTGATGACGATAATAAAAGACAATATTAAGCTTCAATAACGATTAAAAAAACAAAATTGAACACTGTCAATCCAAAGGCTGTCGGGAAGAGATTGCAATATGCGATATTGCCATTATACATATTTAATATATTTTTATTGCATAAATTAATTTGCTTTGAAAAGAATAAATGTGTATCTACATCATTACTACATTCCTGATACAAAGGACTTGATTTGACTTTAAACGTTTGCTAACATAACTAGAGAAAATTGGTTGTTACATTGTATAAACGCACCTATACCAGGGTATCAAAGATTAAAAAGGCGTAACGATGTATGTAATAAAAGAAAGTGTGACTAACAAAAAATATACCCATGTATACAAATAGTTATCTTGAAAGAGAAATCACTTCAATTATTGACCCAAAGCCGCCGCCGCCGACTCAACGCAAACATTATGAGCCAATATTTACAAAAATCAGCAAAATGCTTTGTTTGTTGTATAGGAAGACAAACGAGCAGACAGAGCATGTGATGGTAAGCAATCAAAGCAGCCAATGGACACCAGTAACATCAGAAGAGTTACAAGTACGATGCCGGCTTTTTGGAAAGAGGTTAACAGGATATTACTAGGTTTTCTTAATAAAAATCTCAGTGGTAGCACGGAGTCTGGAATTGTGCCCGGTATATGGCGTAAAATGTGCACCTTTGCCTACCCCTTCGGGGATAAAAAGACGTGATGTTATGTTATGTAAACAGGACCTGGGGTAACCTTTCTTATACAGCGACACACAACCTAAGCGTTATTTTCTATAAAGTCCTATGTGCTATGAGCCAAATACAATTGTCGACGAGAGAGTAGAAAACTCAATGTAGACAAATTACACTGACAAATATGATACGTCAATTCCACATAATTTAGTTTTGTACTCTATAATAGCACAGGTATCATTTTGGTAGAGCCAACCCGTTTGTGCCAAAGTCAAAAATTCATTCTATAAAATTCAACAGTTGTTTGTTCACGCACTGTTATCCATCACGCCCTTGTACCCCATGACCGGACGATGCGTGGAAGACTTTATCAATCAAACTATGCAAGACTAATTAAAAATGTCCGTTTCTCAATACATACCTTGTGTATAGATAAGCGTTACCTGTTCTTATCAAAAGATTAAGGTATTAAACCAAATTATATCTTGCATCGTGACTATTTGACTTTCAGAATGCGATATTTTAATGTAAAATCTAGTATTAACGTTACTATTAATTTTTAGTGCAACCAGTGCACCCGTGCTTGTGGTGAACCAAAGTAATACAGGAATCTTTGAAACCACACAAACATTATGAGATAATTTCCAAAACTTTTTAAAAGTAATAAAAGAACGGAAGGCACTGATCACTTCTTTCCCTAGCATCAAATTTTTGTTTAACAACAAAAGTTAAACTGATAACTATAGTAAATTGTTTATACAATACCATTCGAAATGAAGTAACAAAACATTGATAAGAAATGAGACAAAAGAAGTATAAATAGACAAAACAAACTCACTGCCTAAACAATAAACATACAGGAGAAGAAATTGATTTCGGAAACTCTCAAGACTAGCAACAAGTCGATAAGAGAGATAATTTCACCAAAAGAGATAAGTAGGAAGGCAAAAATGTCGTTGATTTAGATAAAATTATTATTGATTCCTTTCCTGTTATCAAAGCCTACCTTGAATAATGAGCAAGATAGTTTATTTGTCCTTTGAAGACGTTAATATTCGCGTGATTAGTTTATCGTCTCATTAGGGGACATTTTAATCGAAAACACTATATATTTACAAAACTAGTGACGCTAAAATTACGTCGCAATAATTTAAAACAAAGACATTTGATGAATATATTAATTGCGATACTGAATTATAGCTATGTCTAACGTTTATCGATATTGTTTCCCATTCCATTAAACACAATGCAATTGGCCAATACAAAAAGATTTCAAAAGTTACATTACACGTTACGAAAATATTCGTTATCTTAATCCAATATTTTACAAGTAACGATAAAATATTTTACTATAGGCCGGTAGAATTAGTTATGTATGCCACTGATATCAATATCATGTGGAAATGAGTCAACTATTAGACATAAAAATGTTACAAATTGATAAAAAATAACATTAACTGTTCAAATTAAAACGTGATCGTATCTGTATAATTTCCATGGACATAAAAACAGAAATGAACCAAAAACAGACTAAGCCAGAATGGGGATTTAGAGTAGAAGCAAGAGCTTGTCACCAACAACAGTTGGACAAATTGCAATAAATACAAATACAAAATCATATAAAACGCTATGAAACGCGACACAAGAAGTTTTGTAAGTAATAACAGAGAAATACGAACGACCACTACCAATTACAACGGAAGAAACAAATTGCTTGGTGTACGCCTACCTATACGTACAATGAGTGTTTCCTTACCCGTTTCATTAATAAATTATTAGCCGGCGAGCATACTTGGTAATCTTTCATAGACTAACTGCATGCAAATCAAAGTGAATGAGTAACTAAATAAAGATATAAGCCTCATTACTACAAAGGCTTAAGTAAAATCCAAAAAACTTGGAAAGGACAAGAGAAATTACACAAGTTTAAAGCTTGGCTACATCAAACTGTTTGATATTAAGCTTACGATGGTCTTGGGTAATAAGTGTTGGCAATAGTTTTCATAAAAGTGATGTAGGTACGAAACCATCAAACTCTCTAAACATACTTTCACTTGACTAAAATAAAACTTTTCACGAGAACCTAGTTACGAACGTACATACCGTTAGATCTGCGGACAAAACTCTGTATCAAATTGAACTGACGACGTCTCCATTGTAGATTATCTTAACCTTGTATTTGAGGCCGAAGGCAAAGAATAACAGAATGTATGATATAAAAATGAGACAGAATGGTAGCATAAACCAACCTTAAATATCGATAAAAACAAATTACTAGTCAAGTGGTTGGACATGAATGTTTATAATTGCTGCAAAGGATATCGATGGCAATGCATCTAAACGCTGTATTCAAGTTAGTAGGTAGTCTTGCAACCTTGGTTGACAAGGATAAAGATGTGATCTGTTGAAACGGCAATTACATCGTGGTAAACAAAGGTTTTAAATGAACTTCATTCAACGATTAAGCTCCAATAGACTGGACGCTGTTTCAAAAAAATTTAAGAGAGTAGTTTCTTTATTTTTAAGCAAATTAGCGAGGCGTCCGACATTTATTCTGCGACCAAAGGGAAGATATGCATCAAAGAGCTTTTCCCTTGAAACAAATTAGCTCTGAGAATAAATGACAATACTTAACCAAGGTAAAGTTTTGTAAAATTTCATTTTCGTGCTATGTAAATAGATTCGTGGTAAACATTGCGCGGCATCCTCGATGGAGTAATCATTAACATAATAGGAAACGAGGAAAACAAAGAAATAATGGAATGGAAGCCCTTCGATGCGATCGTTAGGCAAGATTCTTGAGTAAAGGACTAGATAATCCATGGTAAAATAATTAAACTAAGACCAAAGCAAAATTTGATAAACCAACGTCAAACAAAACTACCTGATGAATAACTACAAATTCAAGGGTTTTTATGTTTATATTTTTAGTAAACCTGTTCTTTTTCTAACTAAATCTGAATTTTAATTAACTACCACTTTATCAACATTTCGGCTTTAAGATTCTTTAAAAATACAAAAAAAAACAAATGAGGAACGATATTTATTTTAATTTTTGCTTCCAAAGCAAGGCGATCTACATTCAAATGAACGTGTTTGCTGGAAATGTCTATATTAAGCATGGAAGGACACGATCTTCTACATGACCGATAAACGGGTATCATAGTGGCAAGAGACGTGTTTGAGAGGAATAATTGCCTTGGAGATAAAGAGGAAACAAAAGGAGGTCTATGTGTAGCTGATAAGGTAATGAGTCTCTCTCCTGATGAAGAAGTTCTAGAGTAAAAAGGATAGTCTACTTTTGGTCAGTTTAAAAAAGGAACCTAATGTTGAATTTGAATAAAAGTGCGTTAATCTGAACGGTCCTCTTGTTAACCCATTATACAACAATCGTGACCAACCAAGACCACAAGTGGTCACCCCAATTCTGATGGTAATGAGGAAATAGGGTTCCAAATCCGAAACCCAATTTGAGATTGGTCCATACCAAAATTGCATTGTCATTTTCTTTGAATAAAAGCTGTCACTAACGGTAACAATAAGTCTATACTATGAAATAAATCGACTAGATCCCCGTAACTATGCATAATTAAGTACAGAGGTACTTATATGTGGGTATACAGAAAAATTGCCATTTGAATTAACGTGGCTTATGACAAAAATTACCAAGTTCATTTTTGATCTCTTCCGTTCGTTTTAAGTTGTTCTGCAATTTATAGCAAACAGGTTCAGGTGGAACTCATATGCAAATATCATTTTTATGTAAGTGAACGAGGATTAATTATGCATAATAAATTGACGACAAAAAATGGCACTCGAAGTAAAAGAATTAATAGTATTTATCATGTCATTCGTGTTAGCTTTTATTTTTATGTTAATAAATATAAATAACGGACATAATCTTGAGTTTGAGGAAATATAAACATTGAGGTCATAGGTATATAGCGCCTCATTAACACGAACATAATTAATGATTGAGACATCGTTAGAATCACTCATTATCTTTGTTATTCAAATAATTAAAATACACTTATTTACGTAAAAGGAATCAATATTGAAAAATTATCGGATTGTTCATAATAGCATTGTTTAAAATCATTGTTTGTCCAAGTAGAATAAGTTATAGAAGTGTACTTACTGCTTTTTCTTCCCTCCTGCACTTTGTACGTCAGATCGGTGAACGCCAAATCCACTGGCGGTCTCTTGGGCAAGTGTGTGAGGGTCCTGTGTTGTGCCGGGGTGATGGTCACCTTAAGACTCCCTTTCCTGTCGGATAACATCGGCTTAGTGTCCACAGGGCCCGGAAGGCACGATTCTTTGTCCACTTTCATTTTGAACAAAACACAATGATTTTTATTTAACTAAGAAACTCAGTTGGTCATTCGTACGTCACAAAGAAGTAAGTGATTGCGATTGAAGAGACGCGCGTTTCGCGCCAAAACCGCGCGCGCACTACTCGCAGCCGAGTGCTCAACTGAGCGGTTCCAGTCAGGGCCGCTCGAGGCGTGACGTACACTGATTAGCTATACGAGTTGTGAACTTTGCCTCTTGATGTCCATACATCATATGGGCGAATGTTCGCAGCCAATGAACGCAACTTATCTATGTATGTTGTGATGAAAGAGTTTCCATTCCAGTGTATTGATATCCTTGGCTATGCTATGCCTAGTGCGAAATATAATAACTGTGTTAGGCTTTTTGAAATATAGAGTCTTGGAGTAGCTACTTAAACAATTTGTTTTGTTCAAGAATGAAATTGGACTTGTCACAATTAGAAATTGATGGCTTCAAACACTCAGTTACTTTATACAGATATTATTTTATGGCAGTGGTAGAAGAAGAGCTGGACAGTTAGGCTAGGTATATTATATCCAGTTGGGAATTAAAATAGGGTGATGCTGATAGATATTCTTAGGACTAGGAAACTTCTGACATAGCTTATATTTTATGTGACACAAATTATATTCAATATTACTCATTATTTAATAGTCTAATAATCTCACTATTTAATAGTTTTGTAATAACATTTGCAATATAATAATAATAATCATTATGTGAAATATGAAATAACTTGTTCATCACCAAAACTGGTTTATAAAGTGTTTTAGATGTGGAAACACTGACTATTAAATTTTTATGTTCAATTGTATAAATGCATAAAATCAATGGCTTATATATTTTGCATTAGAAAAACTAACTTGTTTAGTATTATTAAGCCAACCATACAAAGTAAAAATTCCTTTAAAAGAGGTAAGGTATTAGAATTTGTTCAATATCAGCCTGTAACTCATGTAAGTGATCTCTTATTAGGAAAAGGAAGATTAAGATGCCTGCTTCTCATGCATGAGGATGGGGGTTTGAAACCTGGCAAGTACTAGACACCATTGACAAAATAAAATGGTGCAGGAAAACATTGTGCGGAAACCTGAACTTATAATTTCTAATTAGGAACATAATTTCTAATAATTATAAGTTTGAATTTGCCAACCTGCCTTGAGCAAGCACCTTCTCCATGTGAGAAAAGGCATAGGCCTACTGAGCATAGGCTCAGTAAACGGCACTTAGTGCAGACTATTGATGATGATAATAAGTTGAAACAAATTAGCTATGAATTAATATACTTAGATTAAACTGTAATGTCAATCAACTATCCAATAATAAATATGTATGCAGCTTAGAAGTAAATTATAAATAATGCATAAGTGGGTGAAAACAATGGTTAATTTTGTCTTCCTGTTTTACTTTTATTGACCTATTTATGTGAACGCTTTCGCCCACCGGTATACCAAACTGTGATTCATTACAAAATTAATAAAAAAGTCAACTTTTACTTTCCATTTTTGAACTTTATCTATGTTACATTTATGATATTCAATGTTGATTAAAAAGCACGGGCGTTGGTTTATTATCGCTCTACATTATGCTAGGAGTCGTAATCACATAACATAATGGGTCAGGTACCTACATAATTATTTAGATACGTTGCAAAGAACAAAGTTGCAACATACGCACTTATTTCGCAAATGATCTTACCTCAAATTGTTGAGAATATACACGTTATCCATCCTAACCACTTCATAAGTTTACAGATTTAACTAATAACAGTATTATTTCCAAATAAAACAAAAGCGAAACACTAACAAAACAAAATTCTTGATGTTATGTGTGAAATAGGCACATTATTCTGGCACACAAAGTAGGATACTTTCTCCAGAATAAACACACCGAGCGAGATGGAGAAATATGTTTACACATAAAAAAGACAGAGACAAACCATATGTTTGGGTGACATTGACAGCTGTCAGCTGTTAGAGAGTTCCTTTATAAAAAAAATCTCAACACCGTTGTTATCATTGGTTATTCTATGAAATAAGAAAATAAATAACTGAAATCTAAACATTTTAAACAATTGTTCAAGATAAAAGGGCTGCAAATAAATCTGTTAAGATAAAATGTTCGAATGTTTTAGCAGATAAATACGTGTTGATACGTTGAACCATAAAAATAATACATTTAAATTCTGCGTCAAAACAAGTCGCATCATAATGCTAACAAAATTGCCAAAGTTTATAAATTTCTACTAAAATGGTAGGAATTCATTAATATCAGGTAAATAATAAATTAAATAGTTCATGGAAAATGGAATAGAAGTACCTGATACAGAAAGCAGTATTTCTGGACACGATACGACACGTATTAACTGGAAATTCTTCTTCCTAGAGCTCCGACCGTCAGTACCTTGGATTTCTTCCATTACTGGTAGGCTGCTGCTTTTTATACATATTTTAAAAGCATTTAATAAAGAAAACATTCAGAAATGTACGAAGTAAGTATTAGAAAAAAAAAATAGTAATCCCTAAAAGTCTTGACATTAATCTTTAAGCTGGCGTTAGTTAGATAGATCAACGCCTAATACGGAAGGCAGTTCTTCTAGAAACGGCACGTATCGTTATGAGGGCAGTCTCTAGAGAGTCTTTGAGGTGTAAGCTAGCAATGGCTACCGGTACAGGCCGGCCCTTATTTTTTAATTTAATTTTTTTGTTGTTTGAAGTAGTATGTATTTAAAAATATAATTTTTGAGCGTTTTAAATAATTAATTTAATTATGAAAAATAATTAGTAATAAAAGAACAACGCTTCAATTAATTTCAGAGATTAGCTATAGTATAGACAAGTTTGGTAGCTAGGCTAGTGACTATAAAACTAAAATTTTATGATTAGGTATAAGTATAGTTTTGCAAAAAACGTTTAACGAACTATTATTGACTTGGACTGAATCACCCACTCTGAACCATATTCCACGAATAAATAGTCATCCGAACATAATAAAAAAAGGAGGCTGTTTTTAAACTCTGTAAATATAAATAACAAATATTAAAACCGATTAATTTGTAGTGTCCCAGGTTGCCATGGGTACGATACTAGCGAATCTAGCGATGTCAATTATTCCAAACTCTTAAATGCCAGATTTTTTTGGTAGAATTTCATTGTGTTAGGTTGTCAACTCATATCTAAAATCTACCAGTTGCCATGCCACTTTTAAATGTCACATTGTCATTGTTGTGTCACCTTATTTTACGTAAATTTACGTCAGACAAAATTGAACAAAATAATGTGAATATTTAATTGAATAAAAGATTCAATAATGAAACTGTGAAAAAAATAATCTTGCAAAATATGGAGAGCGTTACAGTGAGTATTCTTCACATGAAGTCTTTGTTTAGTAGTCAATGTTGTTTATTGTTCATTGTTCTAAAATTTATTGTTTCAGAATTTTTCTGTATCGCTTATCAAAGGTTTCATAGACAGCTTACGGGGTCTAAAAGTACTATTGTACCTCGACAAGGAAATAAACGAGCGTGCCTTGAGTCGCTCCCCGCCAACAGAAATTGATAAAAACATACAAAAACAACCGAAGTTAAAACAGTAAGTTTCTCACATAATTTATGCGTGGTCTTTAATATAACACGTCAAGTCACTTCCATATGTGTAAACATTAATATGTTATTGGAACAGTCCAAATATCTAGCTTCATAAGTCTTGAGAAGCCGTAAACTATTGTTTTATTTCCACCATTTGTTTAATTCGATTCATGTAACTATAGGTCAAAGTACCGTATCGTGACTTATGTAAGCATTTAATCTTTGAAATGAAATTATAGAAAAGTACAAACACATCATGACATGTTACTTTAGGTTCATGAACATGTTAAGAAAAATAAACCAAGCACATGGTGTTTCATTTTTTTTGTTAATTTTTTTTTATTAGCGTCTGTTTTCATCTCTGTTTAAGCTATTTTATTTCTTTCGTCTTTTATTTATAATAAACAATATCAAAATGCGCTATTTTAGGCACTTTAAGTTAAATTATAAAGTAATTACTTAATTGAATAACAAGACCATACCAAGAATGTTTTTTATTAATTTAGTGGGTCGACATTTGGCGACAATATTTACAATAGAATATGTTGTTACAGGGAATCCAAAGTACTTACACGAGTTTTACAATCATGCATCTTGAATGGTTTTATATTTTTGCTTAGCATACTCATTTTTGAGTATGCACTGTTGCCTGCGGTAAAGTACTTAGTGATAGTTGTGTTTGGCCACAACCCTGGTGTGGCGCACAATGTCTGGGCATGGATGCAGCCATTCCTGTCCATGACCTTCCGGATGATATGGGTGCTCCCCTTGTTCCTGTTGAGTAAACTTGTCAACAGTTTATGGTTCCAGGTAAGGATTTATATACTTTTTTAAAATATTGTCTCTGCTTTTTCCTTTCTTAAGTTACCTACGTAAGGTTTGGAGTATTAAGGCAGGAAGCGCATGGTAATTGAAAACTAAATCATTATAATATTACGTAGCTAAGTAAAAATAACAACAGCCAGTCAGTCCATTGAATATACGACGAAAGCGCACGTGGTTCCGCGCGGCCTGCGCGCTAGACGCGGCGGGCGGTCGGACGCGCGATGCCCCGCTATGGATACCGCGTGGCTATTTTTTTTTGACCACTCGTAGTCTGCAACGGGGCCCTTTTATACCTGCGCGGACATCCGCTTAACGTAGTTTCAAGCCTTATCAAGCCTAATATTTTAAGGATTTTTATGATGGCATAAGCCTTTGGCAGTACATATTCATGATAAGAAAGAAAGCAATATACAAATAGATACATGGTATGAAATATATAATTTTACATAAATCCATTTCAATATGTTCTGTTTATTAGTTATGCCATTAATTTCTTCACATATTTATTTGTATCATACAGATACTCACTACTCAATACGATGATAATATCCTCATGAATAAATCCAAGGTTTTTATTGTATAAACTCATGATAATCTTGAATTAAATGATCATTCTGTGAATTTACTTTTTCCTTAAAAATAAAACTCGTGAACTAGTTTTGTATAATTTCACGACTTCAGGTTTATACACATTTTATTTGCGATGGGCAGATGTGCTCAGCTAATGATTCTTATTCTGAAATCTGGAAATAACAAAGCACAAAGTTACGAGCTTTCGTTAAACCATCGAACTGACTCATACCACAGTTAACGTTGTTTTAAGGTAATCTAAATGGTAGTAATCCAGTCCTCCCCCACCCCGATCCAATCGGGAGTCTTTGGGCGGCGTCTATCACTTACCATTCAGATACCTACGTCTGCTCGTTTGACCACAAAAACAAGCTAAAGTTCTTATTTATTTGTCTAGGATATAGCAGACAGTGCCTACCGCCACAGACGGGGGCGGCCGCAGTTCATGTCTAGTGTGAGCAAAATTATAGCCGACTCACTCTTCAGTCTGCTGGTGCAAGCCTTGTTTTTAGTACAGGTAAGATATACCATTTAATTATATTGTTATGAATTCTAAGTTCATTATATTAAGACCTAATTTCCTCTATCGGTATAGTAAATTAGTGCGGCAATTGTCTTATTTGTTTTTATAATAACTATCGTGATACATACTAAATTAAGTAAAAATCAATCAAATACTCACTGCGACTAGTAGGCTGCGCGACATCGCCGCGACCGCGCACGCTGCTCATGAGGAAGAACCCCTCTGTGGTTCGAAACTAATAGAGCTTTTCTCAGTATATTCACGTGAGTAACCCGCGATTTTTAGTTAATTTGGTATAGCAATGTTCAATTTTATTCAGAAAGAATCACGCGTCCAAATGATAACATGCATTAAACACTATATCTAATTTTAAACCCCTTTCCTTTCAGAGTATGTTAGTAAATATGCTACCAATAGCATACATAGGCGAGCTTCTATGCCTCGTCCACATGTGCCTGCTGTACTCTCTGTACTCATTCGAATACAAATGGTTCAACATGGGCTGGGAACTGCACAAGCGGCTGACCTTCATCGAGTCCAACTGGCCATACTTCCTCGGCTTTGGACTACCACTTGCCGTACTTACGCAGATTCCACAGTCTTACATTATTAGGTAAGTTTATTTGTTCCTTTCACCTCTATCAAGCAAGGAGGACTGGGATGCCGTCTCCTTCTTCACCGTCTCCGAACCAGTCATGCTAGCTAAGGAAGCGCTGCCTCCTCATAACCCAGCCGTCGCGAAGGACACTCCGGGCGTCGTCTTCGGGTCATCTCTGCGTCCCCGGCTGGGGGCGCGAGGTCGCGCGATCCAGGCCGATGCCTGTCTCGGCGGTCTCATTCGCTGCCTGCTACAGCAGGCGAGGGGTTGGATTAGTCGGGCACCTTGCGGGGCCCGATGTGGTGTCGAGTCCGGTGGTATGCCCCGCCGTTGGCCGCGCTCTAGCCGGGCAAGCCCAGCGAGCAGCAAGCTGTTGGCGGGGCATAGGTCGTGTCCAGTGGGGGCGCCGCTATGGGCCGTGCTCGAGCCGGGGGGAGCCCGGCGAGCGGCGGGCTAGTAGCGGCGCGCGGTCGTGTCCGGGCGTCAGGGATCGCGGATCGCCTTAAAGAGCCATCAGACCACCACGGATGAGGCCCAATAGGCACTGATGCCGATACGGAGCCGCATAGGACTTAGCGGGTTGCCGGGGTTCCGGCTCGAAGGGCAGGAGTAGGAACGGGATGATTTTTAGTCGGTAAGACAGGCGGTAGAAGTCATTCGAGAGCAGAAGGTCTTGAATATTAAAAAATATGAATTAGACGTATATTAATTATACGTAATATTAGTAATATTACAAACTACGAAAGAACTATAAGATAACACGCAATAGGCATTGATAACACTTGAATTAATGAGTGTCGATCAACATTAATTTACTGTCATGTGTAACTTAAACATTTCTCATACGTATATCGTTATGTGTTTGGTTTTAAACTGTCAAACACCAAGCGGTCACCGGTGACCGCGACCTATTGTTCTTTAATTGTGTCTATAAAACCGGTACTCGACGAGTTAAAACGTATTATGTTTTTTGTTTCAGTGGTTGCGTGTTCTCCATATTCTTCCCTGTGTTTATATTGAGCGGTAATGAGGCCTCGCCCGTTATAGGAAGGTGAGTGTCCAATATCCTACTTATAATAAACTTTATTAGAATTAAGGTTAAACATATACTGTACGACGTACGTACATAAACAGATATATGGTTAGAGATAATCTAGAAGGATTTACAATACAAAGTTATATATATGGACCAACTTGTTTTACTTGTAGTTCGTTTTATACCGATACGCAATAATAGGTGGCATATTTCCATTGAAACAAACAGATTGTATAAATATTTTGTCTTAATATATTTTGCGACGCATTAATGACTTTAACATAAATAAATACTTAATACATATCAAGGTTAGATCCTTTTTGGAATAAACATGACCCTGTGGCCATGTGCTGCGCTGTTATTCACTTATATGTTTATCTTCAAACTCATTCGCGTTTCTTTAGAAACCTTTTTGTAGAAATAATAATCTATACAGATAAATAAAATTAGAATGTCTGTTTGTAATATTAAAATAACAGCTTTGTTCTACATGCATATGAATATACGTTACTATACAAATACAAAATTAACATTTTTATAATATTTTTGTCTGTCTGTCTGTTTGTACTGGCTAATCTCTGGATTGGTTGGACCGACTTTGACAAGACCTTTATTGGCATGTAGCTGATGTATTAAGGGGTAACATATACTACTTTTATTTTGAGAAAAAAAACGTTATATCCTAAAATTCATATTCAACGCGGCCGAAGTCGCGGGCAACACCTAGTGTGCAAAATATGTACCGTTATTTCTTTAGTTCAATAAAATCATTGATAATTACGTTTATCTTACTGCTCATTAAAATCCAATTTTCTAACGAAATTTCGTTCTATATACATTTTTTAATAGATAAAGTTCTTAAACAGATAAAAATAAATCCACATTGTTATACCGAGCGAGACTGACTGGACTTTGAACGAGATTTGATCAAGTAACAGATAAAGAGATAGATACAGTTATTTTAATATATGCGTTATGTTTGTTACACATGGTAGCTTTTAACGTAAATTGTTATTTCTGGGTTCATTTTATAACACTTAGAGTTTGGATCAAACGTTTTACCATTTCACCGCAGACTTGGGACATTAGTAGATGTATATAAACTTATGTGTAAAATCTGTACGTGTCACCTGTTTTAGCGTGTGAAATAAAGTTTTTCTTTCTTTGTTTCTTTTTTATTTGTCGATTTAGTTGAGTAGCCAAACAATGGTTGGGGGCTTAGTTCGAATTTGTTTTACGTGTAACGAGATCGAAACGCGACCACGTTCGGCGATCTGATTGGCCGTCTCCAATGAACCAACGAATCAGAATACCGAACACGGTCTCATTTCGATAATTTTTAACGTTAACCCATTTGGATCCGCCGTCCCCATATGGGGACAGGTTTTCTTTTACCCGCTGGTTATTAATTATTTTAGCTATCTTCACATTTTATGGGTATTTATAATGAAGAGTAGTGTACTTTCCTAAATTATTAGAACTTTTAACAAATTGCTACAAAAAAGGGTCATATTGTCAATTTTATCAAGAAGTGAAATGGGAATTATTATCGAAAGCAGAGGCGTTTTGTAGTACGTTATTATGAAGATTTATAAAACTTTTTTGTGATTATTGCTTGCTTATAGTGTCAATTAAAACAATATTGAAGAATATCCTTATACTTTCAATTCCGCTTAGGGGAAAGTTAGAAAAAATTATGGTGTCCCCGTATGGGGACAATGGGCACATCTGTAGTATATTTTTAAAACATTTATACCTGATTTGTATTTTGTTTTCCAATTTATAAAGGTCACCTATAAGCTAAACTTAGTTATAGCTAATACTTGGTGACAACAGACGCTAATTCACGAAGAGCATCACCAATTCCGTCATATCTTTACGCGTTCATATTCTAAAATCTGATGGGCATCAAAATCGAAGATGCAAAAGTCCACCTACAGTACCAGGCGTCGCATCCGATATCAGAATTCAGCAGTAGGGGGCATTTCCTCCAGCTGTATTCTGGTGTCGTCACAGCGAAGTCCACCCAGAGGATAGAGTAGCATTATGCCCTGTATACGTTGACCACCCCCGTGTCTTCAGGGAAGTGATCGACGACAATAATCTTCCACGTCCAGCTTAGGTTCTGGCTGTGGTGCGGAGCGAGGGGAACTGGAAAACATCTCTTTCTGCGAAGCAGTCATAGTAGCAAGAACAGATCGCCGCCCAGAACCAGACCTGTACCTGTAAGGTGCGTGGCGTTACGCGCGTGCTTCAAAGTGCAGATCAGACCGCCTTAGATCGAGATGGCTCAGTGGGACAGATGCCCGACTACTATGAATAACCTAGTGGGTCATCGGGGCTTCGGCTTGAAGCAGAATTAGGAACGTGTTGGTTTTTAGTAAGTCCCCCAGGTGGAAAACGCAATGCATGATTTTTACCCTCAAAAAAAATATAGGGGCGTCACATCAAATTGATTTAGACATTTTCCGCAGAGATTTATAATAGTTAATATCTGTTACGATACGCAGTTCGTCATAAAAAAACTGTGATAACAATGCAAATAATGCGTCAGAACCTTATGTGTCGAAAACAGTTACTACTTCGAAAAGTACTACACATGAGACCGTTGTCCCCAATCAAGGACGGCATTTTTTTTAATACTTCTAAAAATATTTTTTGATTTTTTTTTGCTGATATTAGTTTGTGGGCGTCATATCATTGAGTTAATAAAGTTTTTTTTATTAAATTATGTGTAGTTTGCATTTGGTCCCAAATGGGTTAAACAAATACGTCCTAGGCCTCGGAGCAACACCCGAGCGTACGGCGTGTCGCGTTCCGCACGCGCCTCAAAGAGCCATCAGACTACCACAGATGGGGGCCCAATAGGGCTGATGCCGATACGGAGCCGCGGAGAACCTAACGGGTTACCGGGGCTCCGGTTCGAAGTGCAGGAGTAGGAGTAGGAAGACTCCCTCCCGCCTCACCTAGGCGGGAGAAGCCATTCGATGACCCCCCCCCCCCATAATTGCGTTACGAATGCGATAGTTATTCGTGCTTAGCACTCTGGTTACTGTGCTGAATTAATCGTCAATTTCTTACCTTCATACTAAATAGTTTAGCGGACTGCATTCTTATCACTTTCAAAATAGATAAGCCATTGTACTTTGGCCTTTACTTAGCAACTAAGACATGTAAAGTAGGTACTATAGGTACCTACTACTTACATTATACCAATATAGTGCTGTGGTATGTATATGGAGATATGTATGTATGTGTATGTGGCGGATTTATCAGAAATCTTTTCAACTAGCTGCTAATGAGTGCACGGTTGGCGCGGTGGCTGGGCAACTGACTGCCACACAACGTGTCGCGAATTCGATTCCCACACGGAACAACTCTGTGTGATCCCCAAACAGTTGTTCCGGATCTAGGTGTCATGTGTATGTTTAAACGCATTCACGACACAGGAGGAAAACCTAGTGTGGGGTTACGTTTTTTTAAGGAAAAAAATTCACTGTACTGTTGAATCCTATATTTCTTTTTTAATGTTCGTAATGATATTAAGATACATTATTCTTTGTTCCAGCGAATATCCTCTACGCCTATTCTCTCCAGTGGTGGCGATTTCCAACGGATTGTTCCGTTTTGTTCGCCAAGGAGCCGACGTAGTAACACAACGGAATAGGTGACTGCCAACCGACACCTAACTACTAAGCTATACTTATAGTATAAAGGTAGGGCGTCAGGGTTGTGCAAAACTCTATTCTTGTGATAAAAATATTATTTTTACATCGTCTTTTACCTAGGAATGTTCATTTCAAATATCGAATTGATCTTTGCAAATTCAAAAATTAAAAGTTGTAAATGATTTCGGAGAGTTTTATTTTTGGTATAATTTGTCTAAATTGTGATTTTATCTGATTTAGATAGGATCAAAGCATTTGAGTCATTATAATAAATATAAGATACTTGTTTTTGTGAAATTTTAATAAATGTCAATGTTGTGGAACTGGCTTTAAATGTAATTCTAGATTTAGAACACACAAATATGTCGTTGATACCTACATATGTACCTAATCATGTTGTAAAAACATTATTTTTTAGTAAATCATCACATTTATATTGTAACTAGTCAGTTCGCCGTATATTTTTGTATTTTAAGTAATAATAATATTGAGTTTCATTCAGAACGTAAAATCTTAATGGAAATTATGAAACAAGGTACTATAAACAGGAAAATCTAATTTTAGTTTAATATGGAACTTTCTAATTTAAAAGATACACATTAAAGTTTGAATGGACGTCTACTAAAGACGTCGTCAAAATAAATAAAGATAATCCTAGATCTATTGCTTCAGCCACTATATAGTAAATATTAAAAATGCATGCTAATTTATATAGTTTTTAAGTAGCACAATCTGAATTCATACTATCTGTAAATAGCCAGTTTCTTACCGAACCATGCTAAAAGTTATACATGCAAAATACAAGTTACATATCATTAGGAAGTCGTCTTACCTCGCATAACACGCTAATAGTAAATATAAAACAAATATTTTTAAATATTGAGAATACATTTTGTCACCAATAGGTATATAAAATACGGCAATTCAGCGTCTTGTGTATTCAATATTTTGTCGCAATTCTATTTTATTAGTACAATTATATTTTTATATTAGTTATTTTAAAGCCAAAATATAGTTGTTCATATATTTTGTTTCCCTCTCAAAAAAGTCTCTTAAGCTGTAATTGCACAACCCTGTAGGTGACTGAAAGGCATTGTGTTGTCCAAAATATATTATTATATTATAAATGTTATGTATATTGTGCTCATATTAATGTTCGCGTTGCTCATGTTGTTATCGGACGGGAAAGGAATTAAGTAACTATCCAATATTGTAAAGTTAGGGTATTTGCAGCTATATTTAGTGTAAGCCTTTGTATACTGTGTTACAAGTAGTTAAGGTTTAAAATCGATATTGAAGGCTATTCATTGTTTTAATAACTAATTTGGGAACCAATAACTTTGTACTATTTCTGTAACCTCTTATCCGTTGATATACGAGAAATAATAGAAAACACATTATGTCTCGCGTAGATTTGCGTTCAGACAGTTTACAGGTCAAACGTATTTTTTTTCAGAAGTAATGTCATATCATTTTGTAAATAATGATTAATTAAAAGCCGCTGTTAATCAGCTATCCGCTAAAGACTATTGAACTTATTTTACCATTCAGAAATTTCTCGAAAATTGTTCAAACAAAACGTAACATCCTTATAATTAAACACGACACGTATGATGGCTCTCTCTCTCTATTATAATAATTTACTTATGAAGTTTTAGAATAATATTGGATAGTTAATCAAGTAAGTTTTATATTATATCAAATGGTGCCTGGAAATATTAAAATGTTTAAACTTAAACACGTATATATGAGTAATCGCTTCGTGTAAGGTGTAATTATAGATTATATTACAAATATTACAATCATTCTCATTTAATTAGAAATGTCTGAAATTGTGATTGATTTTTTTACATTATCTTATTTATTAAACGGACTGACTGATCAGTGAGTGTTTTATTTAATATCTGTGGTTTATCGACCTTAGTTATTTTATATTATACATCATCGTAAAACATCCAGCCCATTGGTTTACGAACTATGGTACCAATACAAATACACCACATCTTGTCAAAGTGCTTGTAGCTCTTTAATTTGTTCATATTTTCATAATAATGCGACGGACAACGCCTTTGATGAAATAAACCGCAACCAAATCGGTTTATTCGTTCTGGAGCTACGCCATAAACAGACAGGTCAAAAATATATCCTTTTTTTGAGGCAGAGGTTAAAAAGAGAAACCAATATAGATGTCACATAAATAATATATTTATTTTAAACTTTAAATTCAATTCATTCGCCAACATTTATCACAAGTTTACATATTTTCTAATTAAGTTCACATCTGGCTAGCTAGAGCGACGCTTGCTTATTTACATTATAGCTGCAAATGATGTTTTGGGTTCAATACTGATAATTTACAAAACTAAATAACGATGGAAATATCTAAAAATTGTTAATTTCTGGGAAAATTTTTCGATAAGGAAGAATTTTATGAGAATTCAATGGGACAATTGAAGACACGAGTGGATGAAGGGGATAATGTAACATTTTTATTTGTTTCTTAGCATAAATGAAGGTGCTATGTTCTTACACGCATTTTGTTCTTTCAAACATTGTTGAAATAAGTCTAAAAATGAAGATAACCAATGTATGAAAGTGTTATGTGCAGGATGTCGGTAGTGTCAAAATAATAATGAAAACTTTAAAATTTGTTCCTGATAAATTGTGAATGAACTAGTGACATATCACCTTCATCAGCTCATGTCTTTAATTTAGGAATGTGAAATTTCCCTGTGAACACAACCATGCAAATACTCTCAAGTACTACACATACTTTCAATTTCAAATCTGAAAGCGCCATGCTTCAGCACGAATGGGCCGGCTCGACCGGAGTGATACCACGGCCTTACAGAAAACCGACGTGAAGCAACGCTTGTGTTGTTTCATCGTGTGAGTGAGATAACCGGAGGCCCAATTACCGTCCCCAGTATCCCCAACCCCCGAATACCCCACAATCCTCAAATTCTCAAAAGGCCGGTAACGCCTCTGGTGTTTTAGGTGTCCATGGACGGCACCGATTGTTTACAATCAGGTGATCTGTCTGCTCGTTTACCGGCTTATCCCATAAAAAAAATACGTTTTGTGTGCAGTTTTTTTAGTGAACCCATGCAAAGATGTTTAGTCATCATCATCATCATCAAGAACTAATAAGTTTTGTAATTTATCAGAATTGAACCTCTATGTGCATTTAAGATGTCTAACTATTCATTTGATTATGTAGCAGATATGGATTGAAAAACTACAGTTCAATGTGATATTTATATGTTACTCAATAATATGCCATATGATATAGTATACTTAGAATGTATTTCACAAAATTTACTGATACAATTATTTACCGGCTATGTATGAGTATTCATTATTCGTGTTTTATTTACAACATTGTAATTATTTGTGTCATTTGGATATCAGTAAACTGAATCTATATAAAACTTACACAAAAGCCTGATGACATAACAATGATACAAAAGCGAATATTAATTTTACTATCACGCAACACTTATACGTAGCAAACTTAATAGAAAAAATGCGTAACAGTATTTGTGGTAACTTGTTATTATATTATTGACATAATTTTAATATACAAAACGTATGTATACATACATATAACACACAATAAAATAAAGCACCTGTATGGGTTAATTTATACTAGTCGAGGGTCGAAGGGCATCGAATCGTTAATCCGAATATCACAGCAAAATAAACCTTAATATCTTCGCAATGTAATGTCTACATTCGTAAAGCAGGATGCCTCAATTCGCGTATCCGCGTGCGCCATTAACTTGCTTTATGCTTTAAAGGGCTGGGGATAAGGTTGAGTTTGCTGTGACATTTGATATTGACACTTCATTGCGCTTCCACTCCGCGCTAGTATTTAGCTAAGTAATTAAAATCAGGTACAAAACCATTTTATACAAAATCATTTTCTATATACAAAATATGAACCATACATACATACAATTTGGTAAAAAACATGTAAACTTAACTGTATTTGGACTACTTAAATTAACTAATTTCTATTTGAGATCTATTCACACATTTGCTAAGTTTGGTAAATTAATATTAATGTCAATTATTAGGAATCCTAGCAAAATAATTTCTTATGTAGCAATCGTTATTTTTCTCAAGTTGTTTTTTTGTCGAGCAAACTTTCTTTGAATATATCCCTGTTTACAAAACGATTATTATTACTAGTTTGTGTATGAAAATGATTAATAATTTAAAAAACATTAAATAATTAGACGAATAGGCATATAATGCTGCTTACTCTTAGGTAACGAATTTTCGTTACACTGAAAATTCTACAAACTTAATTTTCTTTGTAATATCGAAACGTGCCAATAGATGGCAGTATTCAACATTGAACTTAAAAGTTGCCAATGCAAAAATAAATTCCTGTATATTTACATTAAAAAAAAGTAAGTATCACTTATTCAATGTTATAAAATAATCAAGATTGATATTTGAATCATAAAACATACAAATTAAAAAGCATAAAATCATCACAGTCACCAATCAACCGACTACAAACAATATAATTATGTACAAGTAATTAAATCCTTAATTAATATGTAATGTCATATAATAAAAGCTAAAGGCAGGTAACAATAATATCGGAATGTTATACTTTTAAGTATTCATTACATTAATTTGTTATAATACGAGACACTATTATAATAATGAGAAATAATCATGTCTTTTTAAACAAAATTATAAAAATATTGAAATCACAAAATGCGAAAGTCACAGAAATACGCATGCGTATAATGTATGTCATGTCCTTTCCTCTTCAATCTATGTAATAAAAAACCGCATCAAAATCCGTTTTATAGTTTTAAAGATCTAAGCATACATAGACACAGACAGCGGAAAGCAATATTGTTTTATACGATGTTGTGATTGACTTAGTCGAATAAATTCTAGTATTCAATAGATGATTACGTATTTTTAGATAATATTATAGGCACATAATAAATTAAGACAGGATAAAAAATAAATACAGAGTAATTATAGGTCTTATTTATAACAAAACAATAATAAAGGTTTTTAATTATAGCAGGTTCTGTATCCTTCAAACTCGTATTAGTTATTCACAAAACTTTCTATAAGTATAATAGGTTTAATTGATTTATTTATGAATAACATTGATAGAAAATAAATAATGATACATTGTTAGTAATTCCATACTTATGTTCGGAAATAAAATAAATAAAATGCCACAATATAGCCATAGCTTTGGAAAAAATATTTTGGCAATAATGACTAAAAAAATATGTACAGATTAGTCGATTATTAAAAATATTACTAAATAAATGGGACGCTATACCGAGTATTAACATATTAATATAATATTAAGTCCGCGTGATTCTTCAAAAAATTCTTTACAATTGCATATTCGAATTTTGATTAATTTGATGTAAAATATCAGTTGTTTAGCGAGATCTAAACATTACCGCGTTCGACGTTCTGATTGGCCTGCTTCAATGAACCAACCAATCAGAAGGCTAAACGCTCAATATTTAAAGACTTATATCGTCTTAGTGAAAGTACTTCATTTGACCTATTAAAAATAAATGCCTTCTTCAAAAATTTTTGAAGAATCTGCCATATGATTTAATCGAGTACCGCCTGCGGCCTATTCCCCATCATTCAAGGATATAACTTGACATATTATGTCAAGTACTAAATCCCACATAACGACTCAATAATACTATCTTTTCTTCTATCAATAGAATGCATGAAATAATGTTACCGTAAACGAAATGGTGAGTATAAATTAGCCTAACATAGGATTGAGAACTTATACAATAAAATATCAAGTTGTACTAGATGTTTTCTAGTAACACCGTTTGTCAACTAAATACAAATGGAATATGTCCAACTTAAAAAATGCTTCAATCAATAAATATTATCAATTAATAAATATATCCCATACCTAATAGGTTTGTTGAGTAACATTATTTTAAACACATGATACCTTCTTTCTCTAACCGACTGGGTAATTAGTTTATAGTAGATGTACTAGAAGCATTCCAAAACCGGCGCCTGCGCATAATCCAACGCTCAGCATCAGAGCTATTATACTTGAGGCCTTCTCACGTTCGTGCACCTCTACCACCCTGGAATTATAATGAAAAAACAGTTAATACCAGCAACTTACAAGAAATAACATAACATCACGTCTTTTATCCCCGAAGGAATAGGCAAAAGAGCACATTACGGCACTTAATGCCACTGTACAATGTAACACCCACTTTTAACTATTTATGTTATGAGTCCCATGTAATACGGGGTGAGCCTTTTACCTTACCCTAGTTTTACAAGCAAAAGTTCACATTATGTAGTAAATTGTTTGTCCTTTGTAGGGACAAATATAATACAATAATATTTTTGGAAACCAAATATTCAGAAATAATATTTTGAAAACGGCACCATTTAGTTTGGATTGTATATCCAACTAGCTACTTCCGCGCGGTTTCACACTGTCTGCTCAGCTCCTATTGGTCATAGCGTGATGTTTTATAGCCTATAGTCATTCTCGTTAAATGCGCTATCCAACACAAAAATAATTATTCAAATCAGACTTGTAGTTACGGAGATGAGCGCGTTCAAACAAACAAACAAAAAAACAAACTCTTCCGCTTTATATAATAGTATAAGATACATGGTAAACTAAAATACATCACAAAATCTAGACCACAACTATGTGTATCACATACTAATGTACTTATTATGTATGTTATCATAGAAAGTAACGATAACCTAATTGGTAATTAGGTTAGGCTACATAGTGCACATTCTAGTCATAGGGTCATGTTGATATATTGTTGCTGTCTGACTCACGTGTCTAAATAGAGTTAGAATGTAAATTATTATAATGTATGTATCGACTTTTACAAAATTACTGGTAGGGCCATTTTATTTTGATTATTATTTAAAGTAAGAATTACTGTAACACCAATTTATTTTACAGCACACGTAATAAAACTGTAGTTATAGGATCAGATAGTAGAGAATGAAAAACGTTGTGATGATACAAAATAACTTGGTATAAAAATAATGGTGGAGTTTCTAGCTCATTCTTCTACAATAGGGATGACGACAGGGTATGAAAATTAAAAATCTAATCAGTCCGTCAGTTAGGTAATGAAAAAATATTAGACACGTATTTTTTATTTTTTGTCGTATAAGAAAACAATACTTAGATAAAACGAATCAAAGTTTAGAAAAGGGAGCTACGTAATTTTAGATTATAAATCGTACTCAAAAGTGACATCATCCGATATTTCAAATCAATATAATTATTATCTTCGAAACCGAAACTATTAGTTTTTGTAAGAAAATAAAAAATATGTGTCTAATGTTTTTAAATAATCTACCAGACGGACATTTAAATAAAAATTAGTCATCTACCCTATTCTACATAGAACGACCAATTAGCTTATATGATGGATAATTCTATGGTACTTGCAAATTATAAATCGATGCGCAAATATGAAAATACACTTTGTCTCTTTTTAACTATTGCGTAAACTCATAAGGAGAAAGAGAGCATGCCATTATAGTGCATGTATGTGGTTTACTCGTAGGTAGTTTAGTAGATATTATAGTATTATTGTATTCTAATATTGGCCGTCGTTGCCTGACACAAATAAATAAATAAAATAAAATAAAAAAATAGACTGGCTCGTTGGCCGAATGGTTGCAAATGCGACTGCCGGGCAAGGAGTCTCGGGTTCGATTCCCGGGTCGGGCAAAGTATTACTGGGTTTTTAAAAATCTCAGTAGTAGCACGGAATCTGGAAATGTGCCCGGTATATGGCAATAGGCTCACCCCCTATTACATGGGACTCATAACATAAATAGTGAAAAGTGGGTGCAGTAAAGTGCACCTCTGTCTACCCCTACGGGGATAAAACGGCGTGATGTTATGTTTGATTATTTATAGACAGAAAGAAGATCTTACCTGGTAGAATTAATCATTACAATGTTAGTAAGGTATCCGTTACTGAACGCGAACAGGATCATGATGATGATATACTCCCAATCCCACAGGAATACTACTGGCAGGTACTTGCGGGGCTGAGCGTTGCATAGCATCAACATTGGTACGCCAATTATACGAAGGATACTCGCTGCTAGGATTATCCATTGGTTTGTTGGCTGAAAATAAAAATAATATTATTGTTTTTATAATAACTATCGTGAGACATACTAAATTAATAAAAAATCGCGGGTTACTCACGTGAATATACTGAGTAAAGCACTACTAGTTTCGAACCACAGAGGGGTTCGCTTTCGCGTGCTCGACAGTAGGCCGCGAGACATCGCCGCGACCGCGCACGCTGCTCATGAGGAAGAACCCCTCTGTGGTTCGAAACTAGTAGAGCTTTTCTCAGTATGTATGTTCACTTATACTATAATTCAATCTTATACTATTATATCAAGCGGAAGAGTTTGTTTTTTTGTTGGTTTGTCTGTATGCGCTAATCGCCGTAACTGCAAGTCTGATTTGAATAATTCTTTTTGTGTTGGATAGCGCATTTATCGAGGATGGCTATAGGCTACAACATCACGCTACGACCAATAGGAGCTGATCAGAGCGTATGATACCGCGCGGAAGTAGCTAGTATTATTTATAAAACAACACACTTAATTAAGCTTTGGACAGAATTTAAATTTTAGTAGCCACGTCCTTTCCCAAGGTATCTTCTATTCTGTTGATACTAAACTGCATCAAGTACTACAGTTTGATCGTTAAAGCGTAAAATAATAGATAGATAGAAACGAGTTCTTTTGCTACCTATAATATTAAAAAACAAACTGAAATAGGTGTTTTTCATTGATTTTTAAAAAGGTATAATATCTACATGATTCGTACGTTCGTCTTATTGATTACTTTTTAAAATTACCAGACTACTGAAAGCAATTTAAACTAGAAAGATTACTGAACATTATAATGCAAACGATTAGTTTTTAACCCAACAACTAATTAATTATACTTTTATCGCATGAGAAATTAAATGCTATAAAGGCCGTCATTGGTCGGTGACGCATACTTCGATAGTAGTAGGTAGGTACTACAAATTACAATACGTACCTACTATAGTATTCAATGCGCCGTGTTGTAACGCGATAACATATTTTTACAAACAATAAATTAATGTTTCTGTTATAAATTCGTGTATGATATGGAATGAACACAATAGTTATAGATATTTATGGAACATGTTAGTTAACTAATAGATCCTAATCTTTACTAATAGGGTAATAATTTGTAAAAGAAATAATGTAACAACTAAACCAATCTAAAAGATAGATTAGGCACTGAAAATAGTTGTGAACTACCATCACGATCATCATTATCAACAGCCTATATATAAATACCTACTGCTTTTCTCACACGCAGAAGGTTTGAGCATTAATCACCACGCTTGCTCAATACGAGTTGGCGACTACAAGCTTGTTTGTTAGTGGTGTCTAGATAATCTTCTATATATATAAAAATGAAACCCGTTGTCACGCCATATCTTGAGAACGGCTAGACCGATTTGGCTGATTTTTTTTTTGTTGTGTTTTTTATTGTCAAGAGAAGGTTCTTACGACAGAAAAAATACTGCAAATCTTACGGGAACGGGAGAAAACGGGACTACGCGTACGAACTCGCGGGCAGAAGCTAGTACAAAATAAATATAACTCGGAAAAAGTCACATTGGTACTTGTCGTTGGTATATAGGTTTCGAATCCGCACTCATACATGAGAATCGGGGGTCTTAAACCACTGGGCCACCACGACAGTGTTACTGTGAACTGCTGTAAATTACGCAACTAAGTAAAGAAACTGTGAACTACGGAACTAAGTTAAGGCCTTTACTCGACAGTGAGACGAAAAGAAACTCACACGGATTTCTTGTAAATGAATGCATGTATAAAAAAATGTGTAAATACTCACTCTCAACAAGAACCCGGCAACTAATCGCCCAGCGTAATCACCGCAGTTGAAGATCAAATAATTCACAACGGGGACGAAGTATATGTCTGGAAATGAGAAATAATATAAAATTAATTAAGTATCTACTTGGTTTTTATTAACTTTAACAAGGTTGATTTTTACTGTTAAGTGCTAACGAAGAAATATAAAATATATTAAAAGATTAACTAAAAATCGCGGGTTACTCACGAGAAAAGCTCTACTAGTTTCGAACCACAGAAGGGTTCTTCCTTATAAGCAGCGTACGCGGTCGCGGTGATATCGCGCAGCCTACTCAATAGTAGTTAGTAACTAGTAGAGCTTTTTCACGTAACCAAGTGAGTAACCCACGATTTTTAGTTAATTTAGTATGACTCACGATAGTTATTATAAAAACATATTAAAAGATCTCAATAGAATCAGGGATGAAGAAACATTTGCTTGCAACTTTATGAATTTTGGCATCCTGTCTTAGTGCTCCTAAAATATCCAAAATTTCATCTTTCTATAGACACGAGTTTTTGGTTGTACGTTATCTGTAGGTCATTAAATCTTTATGTCACTCTTTTTAATCCGCGAGGCCCGTGAGGAAGATGTGTCTCTTCATCTTTTTTACTACATTGGAACTCCTATATTTTATCAGTTATTTTATAAATCAATCACTGAATAAACTAATGAGTATAATAATAGTAATATTATGCCAAGTTCCACCAACCTTACGTACATTTTAAAGAACTCCTAAGCTAAGGTAGGTGTCATTTAACGAAATTTTGATTCCTGCCAACCACATAAGTAACACACTCAACAATACAAATAAAGAGAAAGTGCTACGTCACGCTAAGTTACTTTAAGTTAAGTTAGTTTTGACTGCCAATAGAAAACTGTTGAAGGGAAATCCTCTGCTAACGTCGTTCACCGGCCTTTAATGTGTTAAAAGATTGTTTAGACGAGGCTTTTAAAAACAGCCACCAAATACATACAAAAATACTTACTATTCCAATCAGTGCCCGCAGTAGCAGGATGAGATTCGACCAGCACAGTAACAGCTGGATACACAGACATACTGATAGCGAACACGGCGAATATACTGAAGGCGTACACCCAGATCTTCTTAGCAATAACCGTTATAAATACATCCCTATGTCTGTTACTGCCCATACCGCCACTGCCTCGTAAAATATGATGCGTGAAGAAATCAATCTTGTACAACATGATGTATGATATTAGGGAAGTGATGACCATTACATCGGCGATCACGAAGTATATAAGAGCACTGTGTAAGGGAGATACTTTGAATGCTAGTGACATGATCTGGGCTAGAGCCGCTATGATGCCCCCCAGGGACTGGCCGCTTACAACGGCCGCCATGTATTCTTTGGAGAATCTGCTCGCTATGCCTACTAAGCCTCCGATGAACACCGCGCTGGCAGCTGAAAAGAACAACCAAGGTTAGACAGAGACAAAATAACGTTTGTAAAGATCATAAAAAATTGAAATTCTATGTTTTTTAGGAACTATGGGAAACTTTCTTTTAGTACAACCCTGAGGAACCTATAATATACCAAATATAAGTTTATTAAATTGTTAACAAACTGCGGAGTATGAATAATTTTTCATATTTACAAATTCTGATTGGTATTTAAAGGACATTGACCACTATTCTATACACCCGCATATTTCTGAGGTAGGTACTATTGTAGGTTAATTGCCGTAGAAGGGGTTTTTCACCAACTCGACACGAGGAACTGATCACACGTGTGTCCAGTTGGTGAAACTTTAAATTAGCACTAATTATTCTTTCGTCATTTGGACACGCCAAGGTTTTTATGTATGTCTACATAGTGAAAATTAAAATTAATTACTTTTATGTTATCGTCAACTGGACACACCTATTTTTTTTTCTAAAAAAGGTACAGTTAAGTTAAAAATTGTTTCGTTTTTAAGACAAATTTTGAAATAAAACAAATGAGTAACAATCAAATATTTATATTAGAGTTAGACTCAAAGACTGTAATAAAACAGGTTCCATGTTGAAGATTTGACAAGCATAGTACTCGTAACATGGTAATAGCGACTTTCAAACACTTTCGGTGTCAAAAATATATTTTTTACAAATTCACAAATGGTGAATAATTACAAAATTACCCGGTGAAATTACTAGGTGGGACGTTTAGAGGACAACGATGATTGTGATTCAAAAATATTATCTGCGTGACTGTACTTTGTTATACATTCGGGTAAAATGTGAACGTGTGTCCAGTTGACGAAAACACAAAAGTAACTTAATTTGATTTTCACTATGTGGACATACATAAAAACCTTGGCGTGTCCAAATGACGAAAGAATAATTAGTGCTAATTTAAAGTTTCACCAACTGGACACACGTGTGATCAGTTCCTCGTGTCGAGTTGGTGAAAAACCCCGTAGAAGTACAATCTACGAGCATTAGAGCCAGTTTTATGGCACCCCTATGAATTCTTGATGAATAGTAATTTAATTTATTTATGTTCTATTTTTATAGAGTTATGAATATTTATGAATAATGTTATTATAATGTTATGAAATACATTTTTTTAATGTCGCTTGATAAAATGAATAAAATGCTGGATTGAGCTAATAGATCTTTAGAACAATATTGCATAAATATCATTGCTCAATGCTTGAAGAAAGGTATGGGTATGGTATGTATTTACTTAAAACTCAGTGAATCAATTATCAACTAGGAAAAGTAACATGCTCGAAGAAAACCGAACATATCGTAAAATAGGAACCTACTTAGTGGAACAAGAAATGTACATAAGAAGCTACTTCTCTTCATATGATATAGATAATGTAATAGTATATTGAAACAACCAAAGATAGTTCTAGATTCATGTGTAAACAATATCAAATCTCTCAAAATGTAGGCCGATACAATACATATACACTATAAACATAAATAAATAAATCGTCTCGATAGCTTGAATCATAATGTCACAAACAGGCAAAGTGGTTAGACCGCAATAACGTCATTAATATAACCAGAGTGTACAAAAATAATCTAAAAAAAGTTTGAAATTATACCTGCATTATAAGGTGACCTGCCTTTTATGGGCAGTCTAAACTTATTGTTGTTTTTTAATACACATATTGTATTACAAGTCCTAATTATGACTCCCGAGACTAGGTACCTACCGATTTAGATGATTTTTTTAAGGGGGTAATCATCGATTGGCTTCTCCCGCCTGGGTGAGGCGAGAGGGAGTGTCAGACTCTTACTTACTAAAATCCACCCCGTTCCTGCTCCTGCACTTCGAGCCGGAGCCCCGGTAACCCGTTAGGTTCTCCGCGGATCACCGATTTAGATGATAAGATCGGGCAATTTAATATTTATTGCTATATCCTAGCAGCATTATTTAGTTATTGAGTTTTAGCAATAAATAAACATATTTACCTAATACAATACCTACATAAGCAATACGGGGCAAGGCTCTATAATACAAAACAATGTGGCTGCTCTAACTTGTGACCGTGAAAAGGCTAGGTCATTAGTCAAAGTCACGCATAGATTCCGCAGTTCCAATGTAAGTATAAAAAATAAGTACCACCAATAGAAATACTTTCAACCAATCAAGAATAAAAGTTTTGCGTAGTTATAATAGGGTACAAAATTGACCAAATTTCCCAAAAACACAAGAATCTAGGAAATATACACCTATATCAATTGGAAAGGAATACAACTCTATAAGTATAAACATCTTTATATAGTTCCAGTGTTTATTGTCAATGAACATTTACAGGAAATACCGACTCCATTCACAATAAATCAAACATTTCCTTCAGGGTTTTTCAAATACCTGATGCATTTTACTTAACTAGACAATTACACTACGCTATGTGTGTGTATATAATTGAAGTACACGTGTTTAAGATATCTAAAGTACTTAGGAAAATGCTACCATTGAAAATTGGACTCAAAAACCAAAAGCATAAGTTTTAGTTTTTAATGTTCCTTGTATTGTAAACTAATAAAGTGGACAATAAAAGCAGTACACATGGGGAAACTTTATCGCTATGGTTTTAAGTTACATAATTGAATAAACAGAATTTAGTAAAAACATGACTATAATATTATTTGATAACAGATGAGTCAGGTCTTAATTCTTGTTTAATTTGTAAGATTGCTTCATTAACATAAAGTCATTCGCTTTGTGTCCCTGAGTCATCGTAAGTTGACTATTAAACAAGTCCTTAGTTTCTGGAAGTCAGGTAATATATTTTCTAATCATTGAGTCAAAGTCAAAGCCAAAGCATTTATTTCAATTAATAATTAATTAGGCATTTTTGAAGCGTCAAAAATCGAATAGGGTAGTTTCAATAGGTACATTAATGTAAAACTTTAGACACGTATTTTTTCTTTTCTCACAAAATTAAATACTTTCTGTTAGAATGTTTCTGAACGATGAACGTTTCTGAACGTAATCAGTGCGCCACCTATGGGGATATGAGAGAAACATTCTGTTGGGTCTTATGTCACGAACGGAATTGCATACTAAGATTATTACTCTTAACTCGTTTATAATTACATGTATCTTGTTCCTAATAAATAAAACTACATTACTAAATTGTGCATTCTTTATATTACGAGTAATAGTATACATAACAACTGGCGACGAGGATGGGATCGTAACGGAATTCACAGTGTAAAGTGCACCCGGCAAAATGCCGATATAACCTCACTTCTAACACATTCCATAACCTCTTACCTATGTTCCAAGGGTTCCAATTCCTGTGATGATAACCCGCTTCACACAATTCCTTTTTCCCGTCAAAATAAATACGAACGACAATGGAAGGACAACTTACACAAGTGCTTTCACACATGATGGAAACGATGCGTGGCATGCAAGAACAACAAGCGAGATTGCAAATGGCGTTCGTGGAACAAGGTACCAAACCAATTAGTGGCATTACATTACAACCATACGACGAAGTAAATGAAGCATTTTCGAGTTACATACAACGACTACAAAATTACATCACGTTAAAAGGCGTTACAAACGATAATATCAAATTACAAATATTTCTAAATTGCATTGGACCTAAATATTATCAAGTACTAAAGAACTTAACTGCTCCGGGTACACCAGAGTCTAAATCTTACAACGAATTAGTGAAGATTTTGAGCAATCACATTGCACCTGAACCAGGTGAAGTAGCACAACAGCATAAATTTTGTCTAAGGACACAGAATGAATACGAATCCATTGCCAACTACATAGCAGGTTTAAAAGAAATCGGTGGGAAGTGTAATTTTGTTTGTAATAATTGTAAAAATACTACTTTTGAAACTCACCTTCGAGTTCAATTTATAAGAGGCTTAAGAAATTCAGAAATCAAAGAACGGCTTCTTCAAGAATCACCAGATACGAAATTTGATGACCTTATAAAAATTGCATTGGCAATAGAGACATCCAAATCTGAAACTAAGGAAATGGGACAGGAAATACAACCAGATATAAAGAAAATATCATTGAATAAATACAAGAAAAATACTAATAACAAAACAACATACAAAAATAGTGATGAAGGCAATGCAGATATCACATGTTATTGTTGCGGTAAAACAAACCATACAGCTAGGCAGTGTAGACTAAAAGCTAAACTGTTCTGCAAGAAATGTAAAATTAAAGGACACATACAATCAGTGTGTTTCAAAGAACAGAAGCAGGTAGAAATACAAAATAATTCATCTGAATATGAAAGCGAAGAAGAAATATATGAAATACACAAGATTCCTGTAAAGAGTGGTCACAATACACAGAATGACAAATTTTATATAACATTAATATTGAATGGAAGGGAACATAACCTAGAATTGGACACAGGGGCCGCTGTTACAACATGCTCAGCTGACTATTTTTACAAACATTTTCCAAAAATGAAATTAACCAGCACTCCAGTCAAGTTACGTACATACACAGGGGAAATAATGAAACCAATAGGAACTTGCAATATAGCTATAAAATACAATAACAAAGAAACACATGGAAGAATATTTGTAATAAATAACCAAGTAGAACCCGTAGTTGGAAGGGAGTGGCTGCGAGCACTTGATTTCCAATTTGAAATCAATTCTATTGCAGAAGAAAAATATGATATTACAGAAAAAGAATTCAAAGTAAAATTACAAGATTTATTAGAAGAATACAAACAGTTATTTACAGAAGAAATTGGAAGAATAAAAAATTATCAAGCTTCATTCAAGTTAAAAGAGGGAGCAGTACCAATATTTTTAAAACCACGTCCCGTGCCATTCGCACTGAAAAGTAGAAGAGGAAATAGACAGATTAGAAAAAGCAGGTATTTTGGAAAAAGTTACTTATGCGCAGTGGGGTACGCCAATTGTACCAGTAATGAAACAAAATGGAAAAGTTCGTTTATGTGCAGA